TACAGAATTCCCCCGGTCACTTTAACTTAACTACTTTTATAAACACACGCTATAACTCACAGCGATTAATACACTTTACTTACGGTGCCTACTGTTCGCTTGACTCAATTATTTCTTTTCAATCTATCTCCGGCTTATATACTAAAAAAAGAGGGCGTCTAGCAAACGCTGGGACATTCGTGAGGTTCCCCGATCTTTCTAGAAACTCCAGCGCGCATGCTCCCAGCGTCGCGTGACTTCCGCGGTCGTAACAATATGTAAGTATAATTTTTGAATAACTCAAAAACTGGATACAATATAAATAAAATGGAAAATAATATTTATTCACAAAAAACATCAAAGTGACGAGTGCACTGAAGAGAGGACAGCAATTTTACTGGAGGTAAAAGAACTTATAAGAGTCTCTGTTGAGTTTGTTAAGAACTTGTTCCAGAACATAGCCTTATATGCAAGATTCTATAATGTCCTACCTTTCAATGCACTTGTGATACTCACGTCATTGATGGTCATTCTAATAGAAAAATTATGAAGGATATATTCCAAAGCAGCGGTTCTGAAACTTTAGAAACCCAAAGACCCCTTTTAATTTATTTTTTTCTGAAAACCCCAAACGTATCGATGTTTTTTGCTTGGAAACAGAAATGTTCCATGTACCTGAAAAGCTGTATTCCAAAATTAAATTTTGAATTCCTATAAATTTAATTTTACGAAAAGTATTTTTAATTTTATGAATAATATTTTTATAACATGTTTATGAAATTTTGACCATGACACTCGGACGCCCTGGAATACCCTCGAGGACCCCTGGGGTCCGCAGATGCCAGTTTAAGGAACGTTGTCCTAAAAACATCACCAAAACTTCCAGTGATAAAGATGACGAAGAACAACAGGTAACTAGAGCAAAAGGAACTTAGTCACATTTCTTGACTAACACTTTACTTATAAAACTAGCAAAGTGCCAGGGAAACAAAATAAACAAATATTCATGAAAAGCTATTTTTAAGTTTTAAAAGTTCAAGGTAGATAAATAACAAAAATTAAAAAAGTAATAGCTCCAAAGAGTTAAACACTGAACCTTAAAAAATATATGGCTGATGGCACTGTCTTTCTGTGCTCAATATTGAAAGGGGAAAGCAGAAAAAGATACAGATATCAAAAACCAAAAGGGCACTCTCAAGTTTTTGCACTGCCTCACATTATAAAAAAAGATAAGAAAGAATCAAACTTCCCCTGCTAAACCTATTGGTGACTTCTTGCTACACTGTCTTAAAAATTATAGAAACCACTATTTCTTATGACAAATATAATTCGAAAGAAGAAAAAACAGACAAAAAGTGAAATTACACGTGTATTTGATTTAGATGACCCAGCTAAGTGGCTCAAAAATGCGTCAGTTGTTGAGTGAAATGGGTCTAGTACAACTGCAAACATTTGACTTTCCAAAAGAAAATAAAGGAATGAAATCCAAAACAATTTATTACACACAACGACGACTTAGCGATGAAAAAGGAGTATCAAGACATTGGGTATTCGATCACACGAATTTCAGTGTTTGATTTTGCTACACGACTTTCAGAACAGTGGAATTTTCAATGTCATGAAACAGGATAAGGTCTGAAAAAGTTGTCAGCACTTTTAAATCGTCGTATAAATCAGTAGATCATATCGAGACATTTCAAAAGTGAAATAATTATATCCTTAACTGAAAATGAAACGAAAAATCGGTAGGGAAAATGCGCGTCTTGGTTAGCTTGGTCTATTAATTTATTTCTTAGAATTGTAAAACAATAACAACAACTCTACCTAGGCCTACCCTTTTACTTTTGAAAGATAAAATCAGCTGGTTTACCTTGCTCTGCAACTTTATCTATAGAAAATTAAAACAACTAGTTTACTTAGATTTGTCATTTAACTTCTACAAAAATTGACAATTACTCGATATTCTGGCGATCTCTTTTTTGCATAACATAGTCAGATAAAAGCTACTTTACCTGCCAAAAAACATTTTACTCTTCTACCAGCTCGGCAGTCTGTCATTTGGTATTCAGGTGGAAGCAACTCTTTCCCTGACTGGGATATTTGTGTTTGTAGGAGTCCACCATAAGACTCTCGAAGGAGAGACGATTCTTCTAAAGAGGAACCATAAATTGACGATCCATCCAGAAAAGCTGTGACCTGATTTGTCTGTTCCCTAGGTCCAAGAGTACACCCAACTCTAGGTGAGGTACAAGAACGAATATACTCCATACAAAATTGTCTATATGGACCAAAGGTAGGATCATCTTGTGAAGTAGCAACTGGAAGACATTCTGGGTGGAAATTTTTTCTAGAAACACCACAACACTTGATTCTGTGACCCTGAAACCCTGAAAGAAGATTCTCAGTGGGGTATCATGAAAATTGTTTTACGGATCCTAAGAAAGCAGTTATATCTGCATAATAGATACTGAGCGATATCAGTCAAAACTAAGCAGTTTTGTTTATTCTGAATTATAAAATATTTTCATCAAGAAACAATTTTATAACACTTATTAATAAATATCTCTTCTTGATATAGTTTAGAGAAAGTTGTTGCTGTTGATGTTCAATGTTACTTAATCGGTTTTCTAATGTCTTGGTTCTTATTCAAAATGTTTTGTTCACTGAAATAAAAATATAAACAATGTCAGGTTCGCTATATTTTCGTTTCTTACCAGCAGTCTGAGCAGTGTGTGCTATATCGTGAAAAATTAGTTCTCCAAAGACAGCCATCACTGTTGTTAAGTGCGAATGAAGTCGCTCAACATCCTTATGGACAGTCAAACTGACCTCACGTGCGCTTGGAAGAGATTCCGTGGTGACAGACTGACGAGGAATGCTGATGCCTGATCATAAGCAAACAAAACGAAAAATAGGAAAGAATGTTTCAGTTAAAGCCTTGATACAACAATTTTTAAACTATACATCAGAATTTTGGAAAAATGTACTTTTCAGACAGTCTTCTGTTTTTAATTATTAAGAACCATTTTTGTTTTGGTCAACAGCTAATGTTCATTGTAATAACTAGGTTTTATATTTATCACGTATGAATAAAAATTGTCTTACCTTCCTTGTCATCATATTTCTCATTATGCAACTTAACACAAACAAAGTGAAATTATATTGTTCTTTCGTGTTTTACTTTTTCATTCATATTTCAGTTTTTATCATAAATTTAAACTTTCGTAATAATTTTTTAACACGCTAAAACGACCTTCTAAATCTTTCTGTCTGTCATCTGTCGTGATGGAATGGAAACAGTACATTGTTTTGTTGCTTTTATTTGTTTGTAGTTAAGCACGAAGCTGCACAATGGGCTATCTATGCTCTGCCCACCACGTGTATCAAAACCCGGTTTCTAGCGTTGTAACTCCACAGACATACCGCTGGGCCACAAGGGGGAGATATGTTGTTTTTCTCTGGGTGATTCTAACGTATATCAATGTATGTATCCTAAAAAAGTATTATAAGACAATTTATAAATGAACGCAAATATATGGTTCTGTAAAAATACTGAAAATATTTCAGGCTGAAACTAGTAGCTGAGAAAAATTAATATATTTTTTTCTAACTTTATATTAAGTATGTGATTCTTTTATGTTTTTTCTTTGTTGTTGTTTTGCCAAATTACCAAGAGTTATCTAGAAATTATGTATTTCTTTAAACTAATTTGTATTTTCTTCTAAAATTTATTAAGAAAGGGATAATTTAGACTGTGCCACCTGAGACGTTGCTTTTCAACAGTAATAGCCCCCAGTGGCATGGCGGTATGTCTACGGATTTACAATGCTAGCCCCCCCCCCCTCCAGTAGCACGGAGGTATGTCTGTGGACTTATAACGCTAGAAACCGGTTTTCCATACCCGTGTTGGGCAGAGCACAGATAGCCCATTGTGTAGCTTAACTTCAAACAAACAAACAATACAATGCTATAAACCGGGTTTCGATACACGTGATGGGCAGAGCATAGATAGCCCATTGTGCAGCTTCGTGCTTAACTACAAACAAACAAACAACAATAATAGGGGTGTAGGTTGGTTTTGTGGTAGAGCTCTGGATTTAGGAGCTAGTGAGTCGGGTTCAAATTCTTGCGATACAATAAAATATTACCCGCACTTTGTAGGTGGGTTATAAAAGTGATATACAATCCGTTAGAATGGATGGTGGGTGAAAAGGGCTGCTGACTGCTTGAAATCCCTCTGGTAAGTTTAAAATTAGGGACGGGGGCAGATAGCCTTTAGCAGCTTTGCCATACATGCAAATTCCATGGTAGTAATAAATCAAGTGAATTGAGACGTTTACAGGCTCTGTAGCAGCTATTTGGAGAACTTGGTGGTGTTGAATACAGTTTGATCATAATAACGATTCCTGTGTTAGCATCGGTCATTCAGTCAAGAGCTTCTTTCTGATGATGCGAATTTCTTTAATAGCGTCAAAAATATAATGATGTTTTTGTATCACGAGGAAAATGGTAACTTACCATCCAGATAGTCAGGGGGAAGAAAGCGCACGTAGTGAGTGTTGGCATTTCCCCATGTAGGATGCACTACATTGTTACAATAACCACTCAGGGCACGATATTTACTCGGTTGGCAAGGGGAGTCCACTTGTAAAGGGCATGCTCGACCTAGCTCAGTGTTCCGGATGTCGACTGTTGGTAAAGCGAAAACAACCTGATCACGGTTCAGGTGATACCTGTTAAAAAAGACAGTAATATACAATTTAACCCTTAACTAATAGAATGAGATCTACATGGTTTCCAGAGATTTTCTTTTGTTAATGATTTGTTTTGTATTTGCAATAACATTTGATTTTATTGCAATTTCATCCGTCAGTTGATACTTCTGAATAAAATGAAATGCTTTTTAAACATTGGTATTGGTATTTTCAACCTGAACAACATTTCATACGTAGGTGGACTAAATGGCCAGGTTAGAGACTCCTGGGATTCGGGTATAGCCTTAGTTATTTTGAACTACTTGCTAGAGGGAAAGCAGCATGTCAACAACAACCGTGATAGCAAGAGCTTTATTCGACTTTGAACCGAATAACATTGACTGACTGTTCTTATAATGCTCCCACAGATGAAAGTTCAGGGCATGTTTAGCAGCATCGTCAACCTTAGACCTGTAGATATGCAGCCTGACTCACTAACCAATGGCTCACTCCCGAACCTCTTTTTTTTAACAAATTAAAATTTGTCTTAAAAACATAGTTTGATGTCTGTGTGACACTACTTAAAATTATTCAAGTATTATAAGGTTGTTTGTTTGTGTGTTTGTTTATGGCAAAGCTACTAATGCTATCTGCCACAGTCCCTAATTTTGAAATGCAGACCAGAGATAGAAGGTAACTAGCCTGCAACACCCATCATTAACTCTTGGGCTACTATTTACCAGAGAAAAGGGGAATTAACGGTTATATTATAACGCCCTATGGCTGAAACAACGAACATGTTCGGCGCTGGGTTTCGATCTCACGACCTGCAAATTGCAAATCTAGTGCCCTAACCACCAGGTCATGCCAGGCCAGTTATCTGCTGAAGTATTTGTTTTTTTTTTAACATTGCTGTTTATCAAATATTATTGTTTTACTAGTATATTTTTTTAATTGATTACTATCAGTAAATTATGGTTGTAACTTTTTCTTGAAGTATAAAATTATTTGTTTAAAATTCAGAAGTAATGACATAAAGTATAATTTTAGTAGATGCTCTTAAATTTGTTATTAGGCTTTTTTAACTGTGATATATCTAGGATTCTGATCCTAATGATTTCCACGTATTCAGAGCACAATCTTGTAGCACATATTATTTAACTAAAATTCTCTAATGATACCATTTCAAATTACGAATAAATAAAATGAGTTTGGTCATGCCTTTCCTACTTTCTTAGTTATCATGTATAATAATGCCAAGTTCCCCCCGTTGTGACAGCGATAAGTTTATGGACTTACACCGTTAAGATACAGGGTTCGATTCCCTGCAGTAGCCACAGCAGATATCCCAATGTGTCTTTGTTCTAAAAGCAAACAAATAAATAATGCTAAACCCAAGCCTGTGGTTTTATTAAATGTTTAATATAATAACTAAATAATTCATTTTTTAGCGCTGTTGGATATGTCTTGCGATTTGCCAAACCATAGAGTTGCATTAATTCTCTAAGTAAAAGAATAGCCAAGCTCAATACTGAATTGATATGAAAGTAGTTTAGAATATAATAATGTTGAGCTTAGAATTACTGGATGTAGGGGACTCTATTATCATCTATAAACATCTTGGCGTGATAAGTTTTTCTTTAAAAAATGGGGCAGTATGCTTTGGATTAAGATAACATTAGATCATAATACGATTTATAAGGAAAACTACAAGGAGGAAGAAGTTATCATGGGTATATTTTACTAACTCATTGGTTGTGTAACTATTGTATATGGCCGTAATATAGACAAGTGTAGTTGCCTTAGTGATCAAAATGTCAGATCGAAGGTCCGGGTTGAAACGGGATTCCTCTGAAAACGCTCCGTGCTTTCAGCTGTGGCGCGTTATAAAAGTGATAGTCAACCCATTTATTCTATTCAAAGACTCGAACAACCGGTATTGTTGGTTGGCTGTCTTCCAATTTATCAGTCGTATAAAATTAAAGGCGCCTATAGCTAAATTCTAGGGGCTGTATGTAACCCTGGTCGCTTAGCTTATGCATGTATAAGATGCCGTTTAGGTTGAAAATTCTAATTCGGCTGAAATGTCTAGTTATTTATATTGTACATGGATATGGACCTAGATATTTATGTTGAACACGCTCAGAAAATAAAGATTATTTAAAACTAAATATCGCTTGCTTAGATTCTATGGTATTTAAATATTCTATCTATTGTTTTTCTGTTGTACTTACTTATAATCATCAATATTATAATATAGTAATGATTGTAATACTTCAAAAGTTATTCATCAATCTTTGTGACAGAAGAATATGTCCAAACGTAAATGGAACTGAAGTTTTAAAACAAATCAGCCATTTGATAGCTTCGCAAAAAGCACTTCCATAATAGATAAACGTAATCTTACTTGTTAGCAATTATTCGTGTAGTTTCTTCTGCAAGTAAGGCATGATGGGAAACGTTATAGGCGAATACTTTAGTTTTTGCAGTAGCTGCAGCGAACCAAGCAGGTGTTCCTGGTTTCAACACAGACACCTTAAAACAAAAATAAATATCCATTTCATTCAGCATAACATCTAAAAAAAGTGATAAAATTTCAAGAACTCAGTATAACACTAAATAAACCAAAGTGAAAAGTTCGTGATATTTAGCATTAATTCTGAAACCTTCTCCACTATAGACTTCAAATATGACAAGAAAAATACATGTGAATGATTTATATATTCTGATAGTTTTTATTGCACTACATTTAGATCATGGAGTCGCTTGTAGTAATGTTGTACATCTCACATATCTCCTGTTGCCACATGGCGTTAACCGGTGTTTCCCTTGCATAAATTAAATCGCCTGTACACATTAATATAACTGTGGTAATATATCACTCAAAGGTACATAAGACGAAATGTGGCAGCAAGTGACCACTGATCAAATGATGGATGAGCTCAAAATGTAATTTGTGGCTCACAAATTATTTCTATGAGTCAGTTGGGGAGTAAGATATTACCAAAATTACTTGGATAAAGATTTTATGAAATAATATTGTTTAATGTTTAGCTTTCCTTAAACATTGTCCAATTCAATACATGTTGAGATAATTACAATAATAATACACTCATGATCGCTTAAAAAATACATGAGAAAAATTCACAGTCATCAAGACCAGGGAAAAATATACTGTGTCTATCTAGTATCTAACGTGTTTTTGCAGCAAAAGCATTTATGACCAGAAATTATCAAGTTTCAGAGCTTAATGGATTCTGTCTACTATTAATCTGTTTACCGAGGTTCTCGTTGTGTACCAGATGATGTAGAATGTCGTGAAGCTCTGTTTTGACTTGAGATACCTTTTTTTTGAAAAAACTTTGTTTTCTGTGTCTTTTTATCATTCACTTTATTTCAATGCTTTCGGTGTCAGCTATAATTGCATAATCTATGAAGGAAAAACCAAAAATAAAAAGCTGTCAATTTTAATAAAAGTATCTCAATTACGAAACATTAATTGAGCTTAACAAATGCTGAATAACATTTCGAAAACAATAGGTATAAGAAATTTCATTAACCCCCTCCGTGTCAGGCTATTCTTGGAAATGAGCTAAAAAAATCAAGTTTTCTTATTTCACTTCTTTGATAGCCTATGCTGATATGTTAAAGAAACAAAAGTTCTTTTATGATCTGTTTTTATGTTTTTGGAAAAATATATACTTGATAAATAAATGCTACATATCTGGATTTATACGTGATATATATTATGTCAATGAACGTACAGTACAGAGTAGGAATGCTTTGCTCCAATGTTTATGATATACAATTCAGAATAAATCTGATAGAGATCAGCACAAGCAGCATTTCCAATGCCATCTAGCGAACAATATTTATAATACATGATAACATGCGAATAAACTCTGGCAAATAATTGAAAATACGGCGAGAAATGGTTGACCTGAATTAACTCGGGAATATCACGGAAGAGGTTACATCTTATTTAATTACGATTAGTTTAATAATTTTCATTGATAAATGAGTGAATTTCATGATTTGAAAACTTTACCATTTTCGTGGATCCTTGGTTCAAAAATTTCGAATCGATCTCTGACGATTTCACTTGCTTGTTGAATAAAATGGTCCATTTCCCGAAGTGTAATTTGAGGGAATTCAGATCTATTACGCCCTAAGTTGAATTTCTGTGGTTGTCTAGAAGGAAAAGATGTTGATGCTTGACGCTTTTCAACCCCATGGTTAATACTAACACTATCTTTATCTTCTTTAGGTATGGAAACATCAACAATATCCACGGCAACAACAAACACCAAGAGGACAACACCAACTGTTGCATGTAAACATCTTCGTTGTCTGTGATTTAAAACAAATAAATAAGTTACTTCAGAAGTCTTTTAAATATAGAAATAATCAATTTATAAACAATTAACTGCTCTTTGTAACAAATAGAGAATTTTGTAATACTTCAATACTTTAGCAACAAGTATTATTTATTACGCTTGTTTGTTTGTATTTTTAGTATTTATGTACAAAGCTACAAAATGGGCTATCTGTGCTCTGCCCACCACGGATATCGAAACCCGGTTTTTACCGTTGTAAGTCCGCAGACATACAGCTGTGCCACTGGGGGCTTTTATTACGCAGTAATTTAGTATCAATGCTACAGTTAGCACACAGGATTACATACAAAAGTTGTAATGGTTTTCAAACGAGACCTAAAACTCGAGCGCTTTCCAATAGTTCAACATTCTTCTTTAGTATATCCTTTGTTATTCTATTGTTACGTATCTGCTCGTTTGATAATTTCTCGTAAAAATTCTTTCCGAGAAGCTTCAGCGATACAAGTCCTTTCTTAATAAAAACTGGTTTATTCTTTCTCGTTACAGACTTTGTAATACACTTAATTTCCACAGTCACTTTAACTTAAACGCGCGCTATAATTCACAACGAACGATTCACGCACTTTTCTTACTACCGCGCTTGACTCAATTGTCCTTCTCTATCTCTGCCTGTGTGCAATTCTATCCCGATTCATTGTCTGAGAGTTGAATACGTTATATTAAAACTATTTTGGAACCTCATGACGTCGTTATAGTCAATCTCGCCACGTCCAGTCATGCACTGTCTGACGACATGAATAGACAATAGACTTGCAGCGTAGTTTCCTTTGTAAGAGACTCAGTCGTAAGGCTGTTATGTACAAAGCACATAACTTATTACTTCCTGCATACTTTCTATGATCTATCTTGTGCATAAGGACGACGGTTTTACAGCACCTGTTTCAACAGTCTGATCGTTCAGAAATTCATATAGAGGCTGTATCCGGTGACTTGACTGGTATGTCTTCGCATGTAATAGCATGAATACTTATTTCATTCTCCAGGTTCTTGTGGTCTATGAACAGATATGTCATAGAAACAGCTTGTGTATATGTGACTTGTGCTAGTTTTTCAAATGGAGATCCTTCTTGATCATGTTGAGTACTGTTTCCTGGGGCACGTGAAAAGCTTTACTGACCTTTATGTTCGAAGATTCTCTCCTGTTACAAAATGCCGTATTTTTTCTACTGTGGCTGGTGTAGAGGTCTCTTTCTGGATGGTTCTACTGAACCTAATCGACTTATATTCCATTATTTTCCAATGTTATTAAATATAAGAGATATCCCCGTCTTGAAAAATCTAAATCCCTGATCTGAACACATCTTGACGGTCTGAATGTATAAATATTTTGTGTCAGAAAGAGCTGTTACACACCTTTTCCAAAAACGATCATACTATACCTAGGAAACGCCAAAGAATGTAAAAATATAGTTTCGATACATTCTGTTCTTCTGCAACTTTATATCAGCCGCGGTTGTCATGTGACTTGATGATTTGAATATTTAAAATCGCGTACAAGTTGCAGCCATCAAATAATTGCATCGTTAAGCGATTCAAAAGTTCCGTATTTAAGATTCAAAACTTGAAGCCATCAGATTATTTGTATTGTTAAAAGACAGATATCATCTTGTTTTTAAGAAGCACAGCTGAAAGCCATCACTTAGTTTATCGGTAAGTAACGTAATAATTATTGATGTAGAAATTCCTAATTTTAAGATTCACGTCTTGAAGACATCAAATTAAATGCAACGTTAAGTGTTATAGAGGCTTTTATCTTTAAGATACAGCTTGAAGTCTTTAAATCAGATGTATTGCCAAATGATGTCGACGTTTCTGGCTTTAAAATACATAATTTGAAATTTACAAATAGTTGCATTGTTAAGTGATGTAGAAATTTCTGTTTATAAGATACCTAGTTTACACTCATGCAACAATTGCATAGTACTGTGATGTAGTAAGTCATTAGTTGTAACACACATAGCTTAAGTTATAAGCTAATTTCATCATTCAATAACATAAATGTTTTTTGTTAAGATACACAGCTTAAGGTCATCAGATGAAATAAAAGTTAAGTAATATCATATGGACAATGTGTGTTTTGTAGGACGTGATAGTTTGTGCATTTTAAAGTTAAACAAGGTCAATTTTATGAATAGGAACGGAAGCAAGTCGAGGTATCTTCTTGTTTTATAGATTATGCGGATAAATATCGAATGAACTCGTCAAGAATATGCATATTTTACCTATAAACTACCAAGACATATATAGGCCGAGTATGGCTAAGTGGTTATCGTGCCAGACTGTGAATCAGAGGGTCCATGGGCTGAGTACCTTGGTCTCAAAATCGTGCTTCGCACTTTAGGATGACAGTCAAATCCTACTATTTCATAAGAATAGCCTAACAATTGCCATTGGGTGCTGTTCATTATTTAGCTTCCTTTTAGTCTATTAGTTAAAAGTTAGAGACGGTTAGCGCAGAACGCTGTGTAGCTGTGCGCGAATATTCAAAACAGATCAAAATATATAAATACAAATATAATAATATAACCGGATACTTTAGTAACAAGTCAACCGAACAATAACTTAAGCTTTACAAATTACGTGTTTATTATGAAAGATATCCATCTCACTATGCAACATTGTGATATTAAGTTGATAGATTAATTACACTTAGAAACTTTGTCCTGTTTTAAATAAGAGATTCGTTTGACAGATTCAGATTAGAAACACCTTATGAGAATAATGAAAACCTTACTTATTAATCCTATCTTGATAGAAAGCATTAATAGACATGTACGATACTAGGAAACCTAAAGAATAACTAAAACCTTGCATATTATAAAAAATAGAAATAAAAGAAAAATTACAAACTGACAGCCACTAATTTCCTTTTTGATACAATATAACAACATAACTCATAAAACCCAGATGCTTGTTTGTTTGTAGTTAAGCACAAGGCTACACAATAGGCTATCTGTGCTCTGCCCACCATGGGTATCGAAACCCGGTTCTAGCGTTGTAAGTCCGCAGGCATACCGTTGTGCCACTGGGGTGCAACTCAGATGCTTCAAGGGGTTTCGCTCTCCTTGATCCCTTTGTGTATATATTTTTTTAAATGTTAGCAGCTCCCCTGTATATTATCTTTCTAAATGGATTAGTTCAGTAAACAAGTAGAATACTGAGACATCTAGGTATTACCCAAAATATTATAGTGAGGAAATGTTAAACAGACATACTTTAACCCTTTCTTTCCAAATACTTTCAATTATATGTCGAAAACACGTAGCCAACAACTACAGAATGAGGTGTTGTAAAACCAATCCACCTAATTCTAAAAGTTGTGTAGTCTGTGCATGCACGTTTTTATATAGTTATCTTATAAATATACATATGTATATATTACGTTTCCCTGTGCTTGAAAATGCTAATGCTGGTTTAAGGACCTCTTTACTTTCACAAGTAATAATTTCTTGCGTCATTAATTATTTTAGAAAAATACGATCTCGTTCCAAAATAATGTTGAAATATAACAGATTATTTTAGACCAGTGGTCGGCAACCTATGACCCGCGGGTCACCTAGTGACCCACTGGGAAAATTTTGGTGACCCAGTAAACAATTTTTAATATCTCTAAATTTCGTAGCCAAAACCAAAATATGCGTCTCTTAAATGTTTAATACACCGATTTCATAGAGATGAACTCTGCATAGCAGTAATATACATTATGTATTGATTATGTATTATGCATGTAAATTAACTGCATTATTTCTTCTCTTTTGTTAGGTAACCAAGTACTTTGGTATCAATTTGAGAAAATAAAAAGTCTGATCCCATAATTAATATGAGTGCGCCAAAAGCCAAGACTGTTTCAAACTACATGGGAAAAAAGAAAAAGAGAAGCACTATATTTGGAGAAGTAATGTCGCTGTACATTGTATGTGCGAGCAGTTAAACTGTCACCACAGATTGTACATGAAAGACGTTCGCCAAGTTGAACACATCCATATGTACACATCTTTGAATGTATTCCAATTTGTCCTCAAGATCCATTTTTGTTTAATTAAAAACATTTAATCATTTTAATGACTTCCTTGATGCTGTTTCATTATCCCTGTAAGATTTGAGATATTTGGACGATAATTTGTCGTTTTTTAAAAGAACACATGACTCTGAATTTTCGTTAGTTAACCTGTTTCGCGATGAACTGATAATGAATTTATTTGGGAAAATACTTGTTCACATGAGTAGCTGGACCCAAAAGCTGATAATAAAGCGAAACCAACTTTCTTTATCGATAAAAACTTGGAGGGAAGTGATGCCCAACATGTAGCTATCATGCTTAAGTGATTTTCATCAGTTGTTTCAAGTTGTCTTCTTAAGGCCTTGAATTTGTCTGTCCATATTGTTGAATTTTTGAAGTCAATTAACTCCGTATCCAGGTCCAACACATTATCCTCCATTGTCCAGGCTTTATTATAAAACTGGACATAGGACCATGGGCTTTAAAGTTCTGAAATCTGGTTTCAAATTCGATTTGAATGGCATCAATGTAAGTTTTAAGCATATCTACTTCTGCATTTGTAATTTCTTCATGAGTTTTTACTGAAGGAAAATATTTAAATGTTTGTTTCTTTATGTCACCCTGGAATAGAACTGGCTTACAACAAAAACTTTTCCATGCTTCATAAAGTTTGAGAATTGTCTGTTCCTTACCCTGTAAGCGCAAATTCAACTCATTGAAATGATTAGTAATATCTGTTAAGAATTTTAATTTAAGAAGCCAATTTTTATCTTTGAGCTGAGGGAAACTTTCACCGATTTCACTCATAAATATTTCAATTGCATCAATGCATGCCACAAAGTGATTTAGAACCTTTCCTCTGCTTAACCAGCGAACTTCAGTATGCATTAATAAATCACTATATTCACAATCAATTTCTTCTAAAAATGTCTTAAATTTTCTGTGATTCAAGG